GGGGGCACCGCACCGCGTATATCGCATCGACATTTGTTTGCAGACGCTAATTAGGGCGACAAAGGGCCCCGTTGTTGTCCGGCCGCCCACCCTGGCAGCGGGGCTGCGGCAACCCCACCCCCCGCCCCGCCTGCCTCTCGCTCCAGGCGCCCCATAGCTGAACCCCCGCGATGTGGCCCCCCTAGCTCTCCCAGCCGTGAGGCTTCCCGGATTACATTACAACACCCTCCCCCTTTCTGTCACATTCACAAGCCTCTTCAATTCCGTCGTTCTCTCGCCCCCATCTTTTTAGAGCAGTGTTGTAATCGATAAAATTAAAAAAAGAATACAGACACTATTTTGAAGGAGTTTGTTTTAACCAAGTTTCCATGAAGCGGTTTTTGTTTAAAAAGTTAAAATTTAGTTTTGAATATTTCGGCGTTCTGTCTGGCTGGCGGATCTGCCCACTGCCTACCCGGAGCTCCTGCCGTAGTCTTCCCCTCGAACCTCCCGTGCTCGCTGGGGCGAGGCGCCCGGCAGGTAGGCACCAGCGCGCCACGGCTGTCGAGCGGGCCTGCCTACCCGGAGCCCCTGCCGGAGTCTCCCGCTAGGCCCGGAACCTCCCTTGCGCTTCCGGGGCGGGGGCGCCCGGAAGGTATAGGCACCAGCGCGACACGGCTGTCGAGAGGGCCTGCCTACCCGGAGCCCCTGCCGCAGTCTCCCCCTGGGCCCGGAAACTCCCTTGCGCTAGCTCCGGGGCGGGGGCGCCCAGCAGGTAGGCACCAGCGCGCCTCGGCTGTCGAGCGGGCCTGCCTACCCGGAGCCCCTGCCTGCTGGAGGCTCCCTCTCCTGTCGCCAGACCAGGCGCCCTGCTCGCAGGGCCAAAGTGGTAAAGTAGTCCGCGTCCAATTAACAAGAAAACGCGTCCTCTCCACGATGCCATATGTCTAGTATAGCTCTTCAAGCCGGACGGTGTAAACGAACCACTTTGGCTGGTCAGTGAGTGCAGATGCAGACTGAGCGCCCCTTCATGCGGCTGCACGGCTCGACTCGCGCACATCCGACTTGCGCTCCCCCCTTGCTTCCGGCCGGCCGCCGCCGCCGCTCACGCCCCGGCTGTTTGGACGTGCTGTTCGCGCGCGTTCTGCCGGCACTTCATCAGGGGACGGGACACGTCTGACCTCCCCCTGCAGGGGCCCTGCTCCCTTCGGCGCCTCGCTATTTATCTGCAGGGGGCGCTGCCCGGCGCAGCCCCTTGGAGGTCGGGAAGGGGGGGGGGGGCGGTACTGCGCGCGCCAAGATGAGGAGGGGGCAGGGGCGGTCACGTCCTGCTGCACCATGTACCACGTCACTGCAGTTTGGTATGCTATTTCAGATTTCCTTTCGGACAAAGAGACGGTGCGAGGCGAGCGCCGGCCGCACGCCTCTCCCGCGCTCCGACGCTGCACCGCGGCGTGGGGCTTTTGGCGCGGGACTTGGCGCGGGCCCCGCGGCGCGTCGCACCCGGCCCCGCCGCGCCCCTCGCCTCCGCGCCCCGCTCCCGCGAACGCACCGCGCGCCGGGCCGCGCGGCCGCAGCCAGGCCGCGCGCCGGGCCAGTGTGGTGCGGAGCCTGCGGAGCCGCGCCGAGCTGCGCCGTGTTTTGATGCGACGCGCTGGTGCTTCTGCTGCTGCTGGGGACTCGGAGTTGCACACGATGTTCGGGGCCCCGATCTCGCCGAGCTCTCGTCAGCTGGTACATGACCCAGGTAGGATAGTTGACGTAGTTCGGCGGTCGGCGATCGGCGCCTTCGGCCGCGGGACAACAGCGGCGGCGTTTGTCTGGCGCACGCCACGGAACAAAGAAGTTGTGACGGCGGCCTCTGTTGTGGGTCCGCGCCGCGGGGGCCGCGCGGGGTGGACTGCGGGGCCGCGGGGCCAGGCCTCGCCGCGGCCCTTGTGGCTCCTTCCCCGCGCGCTGGTGCAGAGAGGATGATGCACCGGCTGTGGACCGCGACACGGGTTTAAAAGGCCTCGCGCGAAAGTAAGACGCAGCGCACGACGTTTGCTTGGAGCGAAAACGGGAGGGGGTCACCTTACCGAGCGCACGCTGATAAAGCTCTGTTTGAGTAAAATAATGACGACAAAACAAACGAGAGCAAACCTCAAAAGGGTTAGGCCCGCAAGAAAATGTCCCGCGCTGCGCAGCGCATGACAGCCGGGGAATAGCGCGCTTATCGCGGTGAATCACCGACAGTTCTCCTCTAGAACCCAACAGCAGACTCAAAGGCGCAGGGGAGGGGAAAAGGGGGCAGCAAAACGACTAGGCGGACGCTACTGGACCCTACCTCCATCATGAAGGCCCTGGCATCGGCGTGCTCGGGAGGAAGGGGGAGGGGAGGGGACAATGACGAGACCCCTCCGGGGACGGTCCCTCGGTCGATTCAGGAGTCTGGCCCCCCCGAGGGCGCTCGGTGAAAGGGGGACGGCGATCCCCGACGATGACGCTGCGCTGCGACGCGACACTAAAAGGGCCGTTGTACTGCTCTCTCGCTTCCAGCGACGCCGCTGTGTGGCGCCGCCACCTCCGGGTCGCCGCCAGACGACCTGCGGGTCCAGGGTCGGATGATCGCGAGCTGCTGCAGCCACCTGGACCTCCAGCACCTGCGCAGCCTCAACCAGGGTGGCAAGCTCAAGCTGGCCCAGGGTCGCCTCCAGGAACCCGACGTGCAGTGGACCCTGGTGGTGGTGCGGGACTTTGGCGGCGACAAGGCGTCCGTCAGGCTGGCCAATGTGAAGGGGCGTGGACTGGGCCAGGTGAGGGTCTCTCCCGGGGGATCGGCAGACGTGACGCTGTCCCGGGTCAAGATGACTGCTGCATTGCGGGGGTGACGTGTTGCAGGTGCGCTTCGCGGGCCGCGTCGACACCGAGTCCACGTTCGGAGCCGCGACCCACGGCACGATGCGCAACGTTGGCCCCGACGGCCTCGTCGACGAGCTCACCAACTTCCTCGCCCCGGCTTCACCGTACGGATCGCACGGCCAGGCGCAGCAGAGCAAGATGCAGGTGAGCCTGAGGCGGCGCGAGGGAGGTCGGGGGAAAACTGTTTCAAGAGTGTGTATATCGGAAGCTCTATCGTGCAGGTTCACATCGCCGTGTATCGCAACGAAACATCGAACGAGGGCCAGCAGGGTGACGATCTGAGCGCCGACCTCGCCAAGCTGCTCGAGCAGGGTGTGCTCAGCGACGTGGTCCTCCAGGCGGGCGGCGCCAAGGCCAAGGTGGACCTGCGCGCGCACAAGGCGGTGCTGGCGGCGCGCAGCCCGGTCTTCCAGAGGCTCCTCATGTCCGACATGGTGGAGAGCCGCACCAGTACCGTGGCCGTCGACTTCCCCGCCCCCATCATGGAGCTCGTGCTCAGGTAGGGCAGGGCGGGTTCACGACGCTCACTGCGTTGCACCCGCGTCCGACGGATCCTCACGATCATTATGTTCCTTGCGCCTCTCCCCCAGGTACGCGTACACGGGCCGCGTGGACCTCGGCGCGGAGGACGCCAAGGCCGGCGAGCAGGCGGGCGAGGGCGAGGCCGTCACGGCCATGGCGCTGCTCGCGGCCGCCGACTACTACCAGCTGTCCGGCCTCAAGCGGCAGTGCGAGGAGCGCCTGCTGCAGCGGGTGGCCCTGGTGCCCGAGGAGGTGAGCGAGCGCGTCGGCGGAGCCCCGGCAGGGCCGTGCAACCTCGAACTAAACGACCCCTCGCCCCCCCCCCCCTCAGGTGCTGCAGACAGTGGTGCTGGCGGACCGGTACGGCGCCCGCGCGCTAAAGGAGGCCGCCCTGGACGTGGCCGCCGACTACCTCAAGCCGCTGCGCCAGCGGCCCGAGTGGGACGACTTCGCGCGCCAGAACCACGACCTGGTGGCCGAGCTGATGGGCGTGCTGGCGGACAAGCTGGAGCAGGCGCAGCAGGCCGTGCTCAAGGGGCAGCAGCAGCACCAGAGCCTGGTGCGGCAGGGCGGTGCGGGCGGCGCCCAGTACCTGCCACCGCGTATGGCGCCGCAGTGCTCGCTCGGGCTCGGCCACTACGGCGGCGACGTCTTCGGCCAGATCCTAATCAGGCCAAACAGGCGCGAATCCCGCGACGAATCGATACTGCTCTGGTGATGCCGAGGCCGCCGTCGAGGAGCGAACACCAAAGTCGCTTAATGAATGAGTGATACGCTCGTGACGAGTGAACTGAACTTTAAGCATAGAGTTAAGCATTAAGTCATTTTTATACGAAGTGAATTATAACCAACACCCCCTGCCAACCGCCTGGCTTTTTGAGACTCCCCAACACACAAACAGCACAGTGAGAAACATCTAGAAAAGAGCGAACGACTTTGATGGTAACGTGTTCTGTATTGCGGGTGTGTATCTTTGCCGACTTACACGTGGAAAACTGTGCATTTTGCCTACCTGAAGGATAATTTAAGGTCTCTTTCGAGTTGCATGTGATTAAAATTAAAATTTTAATGTCCCATTTTGGCCAATCGAGTGCTGTACACGGGGCTGCGAGTGTTTCCGCAAGCTTCGCCCTCCGACCAGCCAGGTCAGTCGCGACACACCTGCAGCGTGGCCAGGCGGCCGCACTCCAGATGGGACATGACACTCAGCACTCTCGCCTTCTCGCCCCCGGGCCCGGGCCCTGCTGGCCGAGGCGCGGGTCTGACTCGGCGGAATTCAGAATCACCAGCACC